GGTACTTACACTGTTCGCAATAAAAAAAATAAAAAATAAGAATGATGTATGAATAAATACAGGACTGCATTAATTTTTGTCTTTTATACTGCCTAGAGTTCAGCTTTGCAGTGCATATAAAGACAAAATGTTTTTGGGAGTGTGGGGGGGGGGTTAGACCTCTTGTCAGGATATTATGGCCTGATGTGACATGTCTAAAGGGGGTTTCCTGACATTTCCATGGCATTACACTAGCGGGTTAACCCCCATAGCTCCCCTTCAGTTAGGATCACATAGCAATACACTGAACAGCCCTCCCAGAGACAGCGTTTCTCTTTTTATCTCCTTTAAGGATCATGGTGGAAGATCTTTCTTCTCACCTAGCTGTAGTAAAGCTACGGCTGACTGCAAGATGGAAGAGTCTGCGATGTCCCGCTAGTGGCCTCTAAGTAGAGTCCTTGTGAATAAGCCCCTATATGGTGATGGTGTATTATGCCCTGTTAAACACAAGGTGGAGTGGTAGCAACCTTTTACAGGTGGTAGAAAGTGGTAATCCTAATAGGGTTAATGCTGTGCAAGGCATGGGTTTCTGGAGCACATAGCATATGTTCTAGGATGTAGAAAGGAGGAAGTGCACAGCGCAATGCTGCCAGTGTTTCTGTGAGGCATTTCAAGCCCTGCCTCTGATCCTCGCACACGGCCGGGACATACAGCTGTCAAGCCTTCACAGAGTTAACTGCAGTTCAGTGTAAAAAAACGGCATATTACTTTACTGTGCCGTTTTTTTACACTGAACCGCAGTTAACTCTTTGACAGCTTGACAGCTGTATGTCCCGGCACTGTGCGGGGATGTACTCCTGTCACTGGTACGGTACCGCGGGTGGGAGCGGCTCTATCTCGGGGGGGCAATTGCCCCATTGCCCCCACACCTAGTTCCGCCACTGGTTTGGGCATGCATGTGTTGCAAAAATTAGGCAGACTGTGCAGGAGCGGGTGACATCACAGTCATGCAACGGCCCAGCGCTGCTATTTAAAGCCTTGGGTGCTCAGTGCAGTGAGGAGACCATTTAGTTCAGCGCAAGCTGAACAGGAACCTCTCCATTTGAAGGTAACACTCACTGCTGATTTCCCTCCCTGCTGAGCATGACCTGTAGCATGTGTTAAGCACTAATAATTGCCTCATTACCTTGTTTAAATAGGCTTTTGTCACTGCCACCTGCATCTCCTCTGGTAAAGCCAGGATGAACAGGTCACCTACAGCTGGGTGAGAAGAAAGATCTACCACCATGATCCTTAAAGGAGATAAAAAGAGGAACGCTGTCTCTGGGAGGGCTGTTCAGTGTATTGCTATGTGATCCTAACTGAAGGGAGCAGCAAAAATCACCGTAAGCAGAGAAGGTAAGGAGCGAGAGAGCAGTAGGTAGGTTTTCCTTCTTTTTTAGCCAGCACTGACAGCATGTTTACCCTTTCAGGTCCTCTAGGTCTGGACATAGGTCTAAACATGCATCTAATCAAAGAAGCTCTGGAGAGGGAAAGTTGTCAAGCCATCCTCGTTAGAGATCGGATTCTCCAGCAGTGCCACAGTCTCAGTCACTGTGTGTCTGAAGCCCAAACAACTGCAAATAGTAAATTCTGGGCATGTTCAAAGCAGTCAGTAGAGGGTAAATCTCTGTGTGGGAACTGTCTGGTACAAGCAGCCAGAGAAAAGGATGCAGACAGCAGAGAAGTTGTTGCTCTCATAAAACAGGTTACACACTGCAATTGTAAGTATGACCATACCTCCTCTCCCACCACCTCAAGCCACACAGCCTTCAACCACTTTTCCTCAAGCCTTTCAGGAAAAAGACCCTGACTTTTAAGAAAGTTCCTCAGAGAAGGAGTCAGGAGAGCATTTTGTGATTATATCCCTGTCTAACCATTTGTGAAGGCAGTGAGAGATGGGAGAAGTCACCAGAACCTGCAAGAAAGCATACATTTGTACAAACACCTGAGAAGGAGGTATTTACTTTTCCATTCATGGAAGCTATAAGGAGCTGGTGTGGGACAAGTGGTGGAAGGTAGACAGAAAACCTTCTATGCAGAAGCAGCTGGTAAAGCTATACCCATTTAGGGAAGAGGAGGTCAAGCACCTTGACACCCCCCCCCCCCCATTGGTGGATACCTCTTTGATGCAACTTACCAGGCATGTGATCCTTTGGAGGATGCAGTTTCCTTCAGAGATACCTTAGACTGCAAGATTAATGTCAACCTAAAAATTGTATATACAGCCACAGCAGGTGCATGTTGCCACGCTGTAGCATTAATAGCATTGGCAAAGGCCATGAACGCCTGGGTAGAAATCATGGAAACATCAATTCATTCAGGAGAGGACAAGGAGGATAAAGTAACTGAGCTTGAAAAGCTGAAACTTTGCTTAAAGTTTATGGGTGAGGTGGCAATGATATTCTTCTCTCCTCTTCAAGAGCTTATACTTGGTTACAGAGACAAGTTTTGTGGCTTAGACCATGGGTAGCCAGCCCAGGCTCCAAACAATCTGTGTGTAAGATTCCTCATGGAAGTCAGTCACTGTTTGGCAATAAGCTTGATCAAGCAATTACTAAAGCCCCAGGTGGAAAAATCAGGGCTTATACCAGATAAACGCCTATTGAGGCACAGGAGATTTCAATCCTGATGTCCACCGCCAGGATGAACTAGAGAAGCTAAGACTTATCAACCAGTGAAGTAATTCAGACGAACATGGAGAAGTTTGCAGTCCTCATTTACAAAGTCAGGTGGACAGGAGCAGCAAAAAACTTTTTGAGGGTGTGTGCCCGGTTTTGCCCTGGGGAGGGA